AGTCAACTGGTTAGAGGAAATAGGGTTGGTTTAATGTCTCTGCATCGGAAGCAGATTTGTCCATCTTCCTTTAATTGTCTGCTGAAGGAAGCACACTGCCATTTTACTGCAGGTTATAGGATTTCTGAGAAAGACCATTGGATACAGCAGTGTTCTTTTTCAGTTTTATCTCCTACATCAGGGGTCAATGGGCACTAGGAGTGTGTCTGTGTAATACAGGGCCTGTATAATTGGGTTTCAATAATTATTCTTCACGCAGACTAGCACTTCATCAATCTTTTTTTGGACATACTCATCTTATTTGTTGCAATAGCTTTTAACATCACTGGAATTTTTTTTTTCTTTTCTCCCCAGGAGACAATCTTCTGAATGAGAGCTACGGTTTTTTAACTAACCAGTTAACAACCCGTGTTGTCTGTCCATATTGTGGTGACTGCTGACTAATTTATTAACAAATGCTAACTGGTGCATCTTGTTCTTGGAAATTGACCTTTTTGAAGCAGAAATATTGCGTGTAACCACACTGTTGGGGAATGCGTCAGTATTAGAACAAAGTGGGCTTGTTGAACATGCAAGCCCCCTGGCATCAGGCGGAATGTATTCGAATGGAGGAGCTAATGTGAACAGATGGGCATCACCTTTTCAATCAGAAGTATGGATACTAACTATTAACATAACCTTTTGTTTGATCTAATTCTTTACTGTTTTTAAGAAGCTCTCCAGCAGAATCTTTTTTTACGTTCATCTAACTTGATTACTTCTTTAGAGTGCTTTTAACTTTTAAGTTCCACTTCTCTCGTGACAGGTAGTCGAAGCTAACAACTTCAAGAATGATATACATAGTATTAGGCGAGCATCTCGAATTTGGAATCTCACTGTTATAGTTACATTTGCATCTCTTATTATGATAAGCCAGCATCCTTGGACATGCGAGATATATTAACCAGTTCCCAGATTTATATTGCACTTAACATTCGGTGCCCTGACAATTGGATGCCTTTTTTCCATAATTTAATTCTGGTCCTATTGCATGGCTGTTACTCTCTGACTCCCGTAAATTTCTAGTATAATGTTTATGTTTCAGAATTGAATCTATGATTTGGGTTCTAACGAACTTCTAAAGCTACAATTTTGCTGACTAGCTGTCTTATATGCTCTTTTATGTGTAATATATAGTGCCATCTATTGTTGAAGTGCAATAAACTGAATTGCTTGTTCCACTCCAGTAGCACATATTTGATAGCTTCTATATTGATCTTTTGCATTTTGATAGACGTGCAGCTATATTCTGCAGGCCTTATTGAAATGCCTATTGAGATATTTGGTCATCTTTCCCCTTCTCAATTTAGGAACAGTAAAACGGTTATGCTATAAAGGATCAAGAAAAAAAGTGTGGCATGTTTAGATTTTCTGTTCTGACAATACTAGGAAATATGATGTGCAGATTTCTGGTTTGGTGCAACCCTCCTCTGCCCAAAATTGG